CAGACATAAATTCTCGTAAAACATGGATTTTTTTAAAAATAAAATAGGTAAACGGTGTAGCCCATTATTATACTTAACAGGTGCAGAAGAGTCGTGAGTGTAACCTATCGCTTGAGTTTTTAATACGACAAAAATTCCTTTCTTATCTCATTCATTGGTACCAGTAATTTTAGTATCTGAATAAAAAGTGTATAGTTTCAAACTGTGTGTATATTTCTTGAGTGTAGTTTCTAGCATAGTTTCCAATAGGTGTGTTCAAAAAATCAGTGTTTTAGTTAAAGCGAGATGTTATTAATAATCCCGAAATAACGAATAAAATATTTGGTCCCAATGAATTCGTTAAATTTACGTCCGACTCTATTTTTTAAAAGCTCATGTTTTGGTATATTAAGAGCTATCTGCGTGAATTCGTGAGAAACAGTTAATTTTTTAGAGATCTGGGGTGGTCAACCCGTGGCACACAAGCCATAGTGTGGAATGCCTGAGCTTTAAAAGTCGCTCACGACTTATCGAAAAATTAAAAAAAAACTGAAAAGATAATAAATATTTTAAATTTCTTTGCTCTTTAAATGAAATGCGTTAGTCTGAAACAAAATAAATACATCAAAATCTCAAATACACTTAAATTGAATAACGATAGAAAATCACAAAGTAGAAAATAATAAATCATTGTTGTGTGCACTGACTTTTCAAAGGAAAAACACACATGAGATTTTGGAGTTTGAAGGAGAGAAGTAGAAAACAATGAACTCTCTTTCGAGTGAGTGTTTATGCGACTCAAGAATGTAAATTGTCTTTGGGATTTAGCTTTAATTATCGGTACTGTGGGACATTTAAATAATGTTAATTTAAGACTGCAAGGATAAATTGTACTAATTCCTACCTTAATTAGTCATATAATTTTTTTTGTGATCAAACCATTCCCTTTTTTTGTTTATTTTAAAAATAACAATTAACACATTTCGCATAAATGCTGGAATAATCTACCAAGTTTATGCCCCAATTTATGACAGTTTTTAACACTTGATATCTATTTTGAAGGATTCATTAAATGCTAGGTTTGATGATTTTCAAGAATGTAAAAAATAAATAAAAATGCTGATGCTTTCATACATTTTTTTTCATAATATCTCGGCAAGACGTTTGTTGTTATCCACCTGAAATCCGATTCCAAGTATTAACCTGCAGCATCATACTACACAAAAAAGAAATTACAAGGAGCTTATTTGAAAAGCAAGGAATCGGAATTATGTTGAATTAGGAAAAGTTGTAAGAATTAGCAATATATATTAAAACTTCTCGATATTGCTGTCAGATATCAGATATTGTTCTAGGTTTGTATCAACACGTTTTTGAACAAGTGTTTTCTGCAATGAGCGTAATTAAATCAAATTATAACTCAAAATTTAGTGATAAACACCGAAGAGAACGAATTTGTCTGAATCTTCAAAAAATGTTAAAATTTTGTTAACAATAAACTTTTAGTTCGTACTTTTGTCTTATTAATTATATTGTTTTTGAATTTCCACTACATAAACTTTTACATAAAAATGGGGTATTTCTGTAAAAATTCCATAAGCCGATAAGAAATTTTTTTCATCTTTTCTATGGCCGCGATAGTCTCTTGGTCAATGTATTGGATCGAGGCTGGCTTGTCCCGAGTTCGAGCCGAGGACCTCTAAAGGCACGCCATGTAGGGGCACGATGCACATGAAATTTGTCGACAGCTCAAACGTCCTGCCGTTGGTGTGATGCGATAGTTAGGAAAGGGGGGGTGCCATCTAAGGTGTCGTCCTCGTTTCTTGAACCATGATTCACAATTACGGGATATGTCACCAAAGACCCTCTTGTAGCTGAACACACACACACAAAGAGTGCGACGTTAACATTCACTCACTTTCATCTTTTAATACATTTTCTTCTTTTTTGATTGAAAAGCTAGAAGTGACGCGCATATTTTTTTTTAATCATATAGTGGCTCTCTTCCTTAAAAGTTTTGCCACCCCCGTTATAGATTAACCAATTTGAAAGCTACACAATTACTCATTCATACTATTTTCTGTCAAAGTTAATTTATCTTGATCCCAAACATTTCCGATCTTGTTTAATAATTTATTTTTCTTTACTAATAAAATGAAATATTATTTTTAATGCACAGCCTATTTACATTCTTTTTTATATCAAGAGCATGGCATCGCTCCTCCCACTCCCATCACGAAAAAATAAACAAATCTTTTCTAAGTGAAGATCTTTTTTCATCAATTTTTACCTTTTTTTTATTTATGTTTGTAAACTTGTTTGTATCAAAGTAAGTTCTCTTTTTATTATTTTCTTTTGTTATTTCTAATTTTTAAGTATTATATTTATTTAAAAGGGCAATTTAAAAGAATTCTAAAGTCATTCAAACGTCCTGAATGGAGATGAAGGCTCTTGAGAACTAAGTGCTCTCCCATCCCACAACAAAATACGATTCAGATTATTTTCCTCCCTTGATATAAAATCAAGAATCCAATATTTGATTTAATTTAGCGTTTTTTGAACACGAATTTACTCTCCGTAAGATCACAAATCCGTTGATTCATTTTTTGGTTGCTTCAATTTAATTGTTCTTACAATTATTAACATTGAAAGTACTTATAAAATTGAATAGATTAATTTTGAACGCTTGTTTATATAATACATTTATGAAACTGATTATCAATTTGCATTTCATTTGTAAAGCTCGGATCATTTACTGGAAGTGGGATAGTTACCATCACTTCAATAAATAAAATTTATTTTTCTAACTCTTTCGATACATAAATAGATTTTTCAAATACGTAAAAACGTAGTCACTAATAAAAGTTATACAATAAAAGAAGAATATGCGACACATCAGAATGATCAATATTCAGTTAGTAGGTTTAGACATATTTAGTCCTGATAGTTTTTTCCTGCACCATAAATAAATTAAGATTCATTTAAGCAACTGTGCATGTTAAAATCTAAGTTAAATGTAATGTTTTTAATTTTAAGAAAAAAGGATAAAAAATATAGCTTAGTAACTTTATGTCACATACACATGAGAATTGTATGTAATCGTGTACTAATGTAGACTGATATGAATATGTTTTTCTTTTCTTAATTCATAATGTGTAAGAAAAAGTTGTGTGGAACACACACTTTCTGTAAATTTAACCATAATTAATTACTTCTCGTAACAATGATTTTTTTTTTGCACTTTCAGCTACTTTTTCGATACTACTAAAAACGAAATCATAATTTATCAATTTTTGCTATTCTAATTTGAAGAATTATACGAATAGGTTCTAACATTTTATTTTAACTGGACATGAAAACACATTAAATCTTATGAAAGTTTTTACCTTCTCACACAAATTTATCTTCATATTATGTGAACGAATAAACCAAATTTTATTTCATGCAACGTGCAAAAGTTACATCATATTTTGACATGCGAAATCAGTTTGTTTAAGAATAGTTTTGGTAGCAACCAAGAAGAAAAAAGTGCAGAACATAGCATAGCATTTAAATTAAAATTTCCGATTTTAAACCACATTCTTAAGAATTGTCTCAGAAAGTTTAAATGACAGTTTAGGAGCCAGAAGACAAACACTAATAGTTCTACTGTGTAACTTTTCGGAAGCTCTGAAGAAAAAACTAATTCCTTTACGGTTCATCCTCATGGATCGTACAGAATCCACCGTTATTGATTCATTTCGCTGTGGATGATGATACGACCCTCTCAGAAAACAAACGCGGCTGGAGAGCGTGGTTTCTACCGACCAGCGTTGTCTGATTTTGCGGTTGAAATCTTTCCTACTTTCTCCCTTAAATCCGCAACCAGTTCATTTCGAGAAAAATGTCAGATAAGAGTAACATCGAGTGAGAGTAAAGTTAAATTTTAAATGACTGATCTCAATATGAATATAAAGACTTTTTCTGAAATAAAATTATTAAAATTAAAAAATTACATTTATTTAACATATTTACAAAGTTTAATAATTCAATATCATGCTATGTTAACGTTGAGCTAATTTTTTAGAAATCATTTTAAAATTAACTTTACTCCCCCGTTGAAATATTGTTCACTTATATAGTTTATTCTTATTTTCAAAAAATATCTGTCAGATATTTTCTAGAGACATAAAAATTTTTTAAAAATCTTTTTCAAAAAAAAATGGTCTACAGCACACTTTTTATTTAGGAATTTCTAAAAATTGAATTTACCTTGAAACAATATGGAACTAACCTTTAATTAATGTCTAATTTGTATATTCATACTAGCTACATTTCATTTTCAAATTGCGAAAAATAATTTTTTTTAAATATATTTTCTTTTACACGCTAATTATTGTTTTGTATTGTATCAGAATTATTAAAAGGCATTGGATATTATTCAAAAATTACCATCCAAAATGTCCTGAATAGAGATGAAGGCTCTAAAGAACTATGTGTGTATCACCCCACCTCCGCCACCAAACTACAAACTTATTGTTTATTTATGTTTTTCTCTGTTTGCCAAGTTTCTTCATTTTCTGGCTACTTCTTTGCATTTTCAATATGACGTATCGCATATTTTTCTTCAAAAATGTGAAAAGTCGTATGCCAATACTAAATTGAAAAACCTGTTAAATTTAATTAAGGGGTAAAATAACGCTTTTGCTAGTCTTTTCATAGGAAAGTACATCAACTTGTTATAATTGTATTTTGTTATAACCCATATTCAAAATCAAAATTTTATTTTTTAATTCCTACTATTAGTTCACTTTCTCCCTTTATGTATTTGTATATCTTGTTCAAATTTTTAATTGTTATTATATACTTTCTATTCATCCATTCAAGTTTAAATGCATTTCTTTAAACTTGTAGTGGATAACACTTGATATTAATACGGTTTTTTCAAATATTAATTCCTTAATTAAAATAAAAAATGTATAAATAGTAACAAACGAAGATAATGGTTCAACAGCATATATAGAAAAAATATTGTTCGTTGAGTCCCTGTAGCGCAATGCTTAGTGCGTTGAACTTCCAATCCAAAGATCATGGGCTCGAATTCCACCTGGGATGGCCAAATTTCTGAGCATGTGATTTCGTCTTTATTACACTATTTTATTAGAATGATTAAATTTAATAAATGAATAAATAGTAAAAAATACGAGCGAAATAGTCCAATATCATATATAGAAAGGAAAATAGTAAATCGCTTTCCATTTTTTCACTTAATTCCGTCTCATGTATAAGCATAGTTATAATTATCGTGACTAATATAAATTAACTAAAATAAAATATTTCTATGCTGTGACTCAAGTAAGAATTGACTTGAAAATATTTTTTATGTTACTTGTATCAGTTAATAACAGGAGTAAGAATGGAAGACAAAAAGCTACTCTTATTTGTTTAATTAAGGCGAAGGTTTGAAATATCACGTTGTGTTGTTATGTATTGAGAGTGATTTGAAAGAAATGTAAATAACATAGCCGATTATTCTGTTAAATGATTCAAGAATATCTTTGTGATTGCCCTTTAAAATTAAATATTTACAAATGTTTTTTTGTCTTGATATTACGAGAGAGGGAAGATATTTCTCCTTTAGGCTTATTATTCTTCGTTAGCACACGTACTTATACTTTCATACGTTTTTCCTAAATTTCTTCATTTCGTATTTATTTACGAAAAGAGAAGATGTGTACATGTTTGACTGTCCATGATTCATTTAACATCATAACATGATGAAATAAATAAGAAACTACATTTTTTCAAATTCAGAATAAAAATGAAGAAATGCAGTTAAGAACAAAAAAAGAAAATAAATTTATTAAGTATCATTATAAGATGAAGGGCTATAGGAAATACATATTTTTTTATCTATAATTTCTAAATAGAACATGAAGCAGATATCTGTGTTAAAGACATTAATTTTCGTAAAACATGGAATTTTTTAAAAACAGTATAGGTAAACAGTGTAGCAGAGTCGGGAAAGTAAACTATCGCTTGAGTTTTTAATACGACAGAAAAATTCCTTTCTTATCTTATTCAATGGTACCAGTATTTTTAGCAACTGAGTAAAAAGTGTATAACTTCATACTGCGGATATATTTTTGTGTGTAGTTTCTAGCATAGTTTCCAATAGGTAAGTTAAAAAAATCCGTATTTTAGTTAAACCGTGATAATATGAATATCTCCGAAATAACGAAGAAAATATTTGGTCCCAATGAATTCGTTAAATTTAGGGGTCCGATTCTATTTTTTAAAAGTTCATGTTTTGGTATATTAAGAGCTATCCGCCTCAATTCATGAGAAACGGTAATTTTTAGATCTGGGGTGGTCAACCCGTGGCACACGTGCAACGGTGTGGAATGGCTGAGCTATAACAGTGGATCGCGACTTATAAAAAAATTAAAAAATTTGAAAGATAATAATTATTGTATTTTTCTTTACAGTTAAAATGAAATACGGTTGTCTGAGACAAAAAAAATTACATGGAATTTTCAAACACACTTGATTGAAATACAATGGAAAATCACAAAGTAGAAAATACTAAACCATTGTTGGGTGCACTGGCTTTTCAAAGGAAAATCACACATGAGATTTTGGAGTTAGAAGGAGCTAAATAGAAAACAATGAACTTTCGAGTGAGTCTTTATGCGACTCAAGAATGTAAATTAGCTTTGGGATTTAACTTTACTTACCGCTACTATGGGACATATAAATAATGTCAATTTAAGACTGCAAAGATAAATCGTACTAATTCCTACTTTAACTGATCATATAATTTGTTTGTGATCAAATATTTCCCTTTTTTTTGTTTATTTTGAAAATAACAATTAACACATTTCGCATAAATGCTGGAATAATCTACCAAATTTATGCCCCAATTTATGACAGTTTTTGACACTTCATATTTATTTTGAAAGATTCATTGAGTGCTAGGATTGATGATTTTCGAGAATGTAAAAAATAAATAAAAATGCTGATGTGTTTTCATACATTTTTTTTTCATAATATCTCGGCAAGACGTTTATTGTTATCCACCTGAAATCCGATTCCAAGTATTAACCTGCAGCATCATACTACACAAAAAAGAAATTACAAGGAGCTTATTTGAAAAGCAAGGAATCGAAATTATGTTGAATTAGGAAAAGTTGTAAGAATTAACAATATTAAAACTTCTCGATATAGCTGTCAGATATCAGATATTGTTCTAGGTTTGTATCAATACGTTTTTGAACAAGTGTTTTCTGTAGTGAGCGCAATTAAATCAAATTATAGCTCAAAATTTACTGATAAACTCCTAAGGCAACGAATTTGTCTGCATCTTCAAAAAATGTTAAAATTTTGTTAACAATAAATTTTTAGTTCGTACTTTTGTCATATTATTTATATTGTTTTTGACTTTCCACTACATAAACTTTTATATAAAAATGGGGTATTTCAGTAAAAATTTAATAAGCCGATAAGAAATTTTTTTTCATCTTATCTATGGCCGCGATAGTCTATTGGTCAAGGTATTGGATCGAGGCTGGCTTGTCACGAGTTCGAGCCCAGTACCTCTAAGGACACGCCGTGTAGAGGCACGATGCACATGAAATTTTCGACAGCTCAAACGTACTCCCGTTGGTCTGATGTGATAGTTAGGAATGGGGGGTTGCCATCTAAGGGGTCGTCCTCGTTTCTTGACCATGATTCACAATTTCGGGATTCGTCACCAAAGACCCTCTTGTAGCTGAAAACACACACACAAGGAGTGCGACGTTAACATTCACTCACTTTCATCTTTTAATACATTTTCTTCTTTTCTGATCGTAAAGTTAGAAGGGGCGAGCATATTTTTTTTAATCATATAGTGGCTATCTTCCTTAAAAGTTTGGCCACCCCTGTTTTAGATTAACCAATTTCAAAGCTACACATTTACTCATTCATACTATTTTCTGTCAAAGTTAATTTATCTTGATCCCAAACATTTCCGATCTTGTTTAATAATTTATTTTTCTTTACTAATAAAATGAAATATTATTATTAATGCACAACCTACTTGCATTCTTTTTTATATCAAGACCATGGCATCGCTCCTCCCACTCCCATCACGGAAAAATAAATAAATCTTTTCGAAGTGAAGATCTTTTTTCATCAATTTTTACCTTTTTTTATTTATGTTTGTAAACTTGGTTGTATCGAAGTAAGTTCTCTTTTTATTATTTTTCTTTTGTTATTTCTAATTTTTAATTATTATTTATTTAAAAGGGCAATTTAAAAGAATTCTTAAGTCATTCAAACGTCATGAATAGAGATGAAGACTCGGGAGAACTAAGTGCTCCCCATTCCACAACAAAATACGATTCAAATTATTTTCCTCCCTTGATATAAAATCAAGAATCCAATATATGATTTAATTTAGCGTATTTTGAACACGAATTTACTTTCCGTAAGATCACAAATCCGTTGAATCGTTTTTTGGTTGCTTCACTTTAATTGTTCCTACAATTTTTATCATTTAAAGTACTTATAAAATCGAATAGAATAATTTTTGAACACTTGTTTATGTAATACATTTATGAAACTGATTATCAATTTGCATTTCATTTGTAAAGCTCGGATCATTTACTGGAAGTGGGATAGTTACCATCACTTTAATAAATTAACTTTATTTTTCTAACTCTATCGATACATAAACTGATTTTTCAAATACGTTAAAAAGTAGCCACTAATAAATTTATACAATAAAAGAAGAATATGCGACACATCAGGATGATCAATATTCAGTTAGTAGGTTTAGAGATATTTAGTCCTGATAGTTTTCCTTTACCATAAATAAATTAAGATTCATTTAAGCAACTGTGCATGTTAAAATCTAAGTTAAATGTAAGGTCTTTAATTTTAAAAAAAAAGGATAAATATATAGCTTAGTAACTTTATGTCACATACACATAAGAAATGTATGTAATCGTTTACTAATGTAGACTGATATGAATATGTTTTTCATTTCTTAATTCATAATGTGTAAGAAAAAGTTTTGTGGAACACACACTTTCTATAAATTTAAACATAATTAATTACTTCTAACAATGGTTATTTTCATGCACTTTCAGCTACTTTTTCGATACTACTAAAAACGAAATCATTATTTATCAATTTATGCTATTCTAATTTGAAGAATTATCCGAATAGATTCTAACATTTTATTTTAACTGGAGAGGAAAACACATTAAATCTTATGAAAGTTTTTACCTTCTCACACAAATTTATTTTCATATTATGTGAACGAATAAACAAAATTTTATTTCATGCAGCGTACAAAAGTTACATCATATTTTAAGTTGCGAAATCACTTATTAAAATCAGTTTGTTTAAGAATAACTTTGGTTGCAACCAAGAAGAAAAAAGTGCAGAACTTGTGAAGATCCCCTTGGATCTCACTTTGAGAACGAGAATAGTTCGGAGTCAGATAAGAGCCAGTAGCAATTTTTATAAATAACTTTATTTGGTTATCTTTCCCAAATAGAATCAAAGACTTTTAATAACAAATAAATCAAAAAAGTAGTTATATGAGGTTTAAAAGAGACTTGGCTTTAAATTAACTTGAATATCTAATAATCCAATTAATTAACAATTAGAATATCAATCACGCAGAGATTACCGCAATAAGAGATCCCAGGATTATATTCAATAATATTCCTACTGGACGTTTAATTTTAATCTCACTCCTAATATAAAGCTTTAATAAGACTTTAATCAATATTTTAAACGCTGCAGCTCAGCTCAGCTTTTCTGAGATTTTATCCTCCTAGAAATCTCCAATAATAAATCTCTAACATCACTATTATACCTTCCTGCTTCAATCTCTCACTCCTACTGCTTTTTACTTTACTATTCCGTTTGACTTAAATACTTTATCTAATCTGCATAACAAGGAATCCTGTTCTCTTTTTGGAGCTGATTGAAAATAGGTAGGGGAATTAAATTTTCCTAAAAAAGACGTCTCAGAAGGTTAGTGATAAAGTTCCGTATAGGTTTGTAACAAACATATGATTACATTTAAATTAAATTTTCCGATTTTGATCCACATTCCT